CCATTTTGGCACGCTGTACGAGCAGCCCGCAACCACCTGGAGAAAATAGGGTCGCACGGTCAATCGCGTTGAAAAAATAATAGGGTCGGCAGAAAAAAATAGGGTCGGTCGGGAACCGGAACCACAGGTATTTTTTTTTGCGCCTAGGGAAAATTACAAAGGCTGTCTACAATACAATAATATTTCAGAATTGTACCAAGATCAAATATTGGTGTTGCAAGTGATTCTCGAAGGCAAAAGGTTGGTTATTGCAATCAATCTGGTAATTCCAGTCAATTATCAATGGATTGACATGATATAATAGTGATGATTGATTGTCATTACTTTTTACTTTATTATTTTTGCCTTACTTTATTATTTTACTCTGTCTAATGATTTTACTCATCAAGGGGAAAGTGCTGCCACTCAATGGGTAATCAAACTATCTGCATCCTGTTAATCCTTTATGCGGCAATGTGCTCTAAGGCACACATTAAGTGCATTAAAGTTAACATTGTGATATTATAAATAGATTTAAATTCAAATATTGATAACAGAATATGAACTTACAGCAAGCAATATTAGTCAATTTGCATTTCTTAGAAGGGACCCAGAGATTGGACGAACCTGTATCAAAAAGAATGTTGAAGTTTTGCGGTGGAGTTCCAATTGTAATTGGTCCATAGTACTGTGCATCCATGTAATTGTTAAGTGGCTCATCTGGTGAGCCAAGTCTGTTATTTGAGTATTTTGTATTTAAGCCTAATTTGCCTTCCAAATCTTTCTCTGAGACATTTATTTCCTTTAATTGTGAGCGAATTGTACGAAATTTGGTAAGTGGTATCCTATAAAAAAGAACACAAAGCATTTGATTAATGTCCAACACTTTCAAGCTCAGTAGCTAAACATATGGTCTTGCGTACTTTATGCAAATTTCATCTCCAGATGAAAAAAATAAATATAGAATAAAATATATTTCGAAATAATGCATCTTGAAAATCCAAAATATCAATCAAAATCAAGACATGAAACGCAATATAAATGTAAATTATTATTATTAAATTGACTGTACCATTATACAATTTTGTCTTACTTTTGATCCATATTTTGGATTTTCAAGATGCTTATTTTCAGAATACGTTTTATTCTATATTATGCAAATTTTTATTGTAATCACTCAAGCCACTGGAAATGCATTGATTTTTATAAGCATGTTTGTATACAGGGACAGTGTGTATAAAAAACTACACAGTTATAAAATGTCCACTAAACTGAATATTCCGCACAATTTGTGGAAAACTTATGTGTAGTTAATAGTATAGGTAGTTATATTAGTATGGGTAGTTATGTTAGTGTAAGTAGTTTGCATGACTCTATCTATTGTAAACCCACTGCATGCATTCGATATGGAGTCAAATAATTCCCAAAGTCCTGGGTCTAGTCGCAGAAATCCCAAGTTGGAGGGACAACAAATATAGCCTGCGTCACAGACGCTCGTGGGCGGAAATGGGGGCGCTAAGTCTGTGTTTAGCACTTATCACATTACACACAGACTATGTCGTAGTCTACAAGAAATATAGCAGCACACATTTAAATTAGTTTAAAGTAGAAAGGAGATATTTCATTTTTGGTCGTCTAGAAAGTTGATATTTCATAGTAGATACTTCTACTCTGTTCACATGCATATTTGAGGCCTGTCACCATATATTTTGTCCCTCCAAACGATCCCAGAATGCATTGTGATTTCTTTTGGGAAAAGGCTAATAGGCAATTCCAGCTATAGATTACATTTTGATATAGGCAAGAAGAACAAAATCCATCATTACAGCTACAAAGAGCATGTTAAAATAAGCAAAATTGCAAAGTTTGGCCGCGAAATGTTGTAAAATTCGGAAAATATAGCCCTGCGAAATTTGCAAATTTTGTCCCCGAGCCGACGGCGCGAAGCGCCGTGCGAGGGTACTAATTCCCCCCGGCTATTTACACCCGGGGAAACGAAAGCATTAGCGGAGTCTAAAGTTCATCAAATATCGCGGGCGTGGGTCACCAACGGTGTTGGGTGGGTGGTCATCCTCACTGATCTCAAAAATATGGCGGACTGTCACGAATAGCGGACACTGATTGGTCCAATTTAAAGTTAGCATTATAACGACTGCATGACGACAGCGAAATAGCAAACATTTCTTGAGTTGATTTGATGATTGATAAATTTCTTGCAAATATATTTCATTTTTGCTCGCATTTTTGCAAGATTTTGTAAATTTCAAAAGCTCTCTGAGAAAAGAACTGCGAAAGAATCGGCTAAAAGAGGGGAGCCGACGTTAACGAAGGTAAGTTTGTTTTAAATATTGATTTTATAATGGATTTAAAACCCGACGGCCTTTGCGTATATGAAACAACTAAACAAGACAGCATATAATTTCAGTGTATCTTTAATATTGATTCCCTTTTTTATGATATTGAAATTTTTAAATAAATAAGAAAGCAAACTTATTTGCAAGCGAGAATTTTAAATCATTTTATTGCAAACTCAAAGTTTATTGATAAAGCCATTTTAAAAGGCAGTTTAGTTTTATATTAAAGAACACTAGTGACTTTAAAACTCTTTGCGAAGCGTTTGTGGTTGAATTTTACCTTAAATCGAGGCTTATATTACGTATAATAACATACCTAAGATATATATGTTGGGAAATTAATAATTTTGTGATTAAAAGTGATATTTATAAGCGATTTTTCATTTGTAAGAATATTCTTAAAAAATTATCGTGTTACCATGACAACTTAGATACTTCATGTTCGGAAAATACAATGGTTTTGTCAGCGAGGCGAGGGTTTCTGCATGCATGTATTTTCTAGTTTAAACATACTTTTTTCCAGCTTGTTTCATAGGGTGTCAGATTTAAAACGCGAAGTGGAAGGCAATGCTATTCCATGTGTAGATTTCGGCATGCACATGTCAAACTGAATAAGGCCAAAAAAATGTTTAAAAATTAAAAAAGCCCATTCTCATTTGGTGATTTTCAGAATATTACATACTTAAATTATACAAAAACATCAAAATAAAACTAGGTTTCATATATTGTGCATGAAATATTTAAAAGTTAAAAATTTTCCGCGCTTGTAAAACTGCGACAACAATCTATCGCTTGCTTGTATTTCATGTGTAGATTTGACATGCACATGTCAAAAACAAGGCCAAAAAAATGTTTAAAAATTAAAAAAGCCCATTCTCATTTGGTGATTTTCAGAAAACTAGGTACTTAAATAAAACAAAAACATCAAACTATAAAACTAGTTTTCATATATTGTGCATGAAATATTTAAAAGTTAAAAATTTTCCGCGCTTGTAAAACTGCGACAACAAACTATCGCTTGCTTGTATTTCATGTGTAGATTTGGCATGTACATGTCAAAAACAAGGCCAAAAAAATGTTTAAAAATTTAAAAAGCCCATTCTCATTTGGTGATTTTCAGAAAATTACGTACTTAAATTATACAAAAACATCAAAATAAAACTAGGTTTCATATATTGTGCATGAAATATTTAAAAGTTAAAAATTTTCCGCGCTTGCAAAACTGCGACAACAAACTATCGCTTGCTTGTATTCCATGTGTAGATTTCGGCATGGACATGTCAAACTGAACCAGGACAAAAATGTTTAAAAATTAAAAAAGCCCATTTTCATTTGGTGATTTTCAGAAAATTACATACTTAAATTATACAAAAACATCAAAATAAAAATAGGTTTCATATATTGTGCATGAAATATTTAAAAGTTAAAAATTTTCCGCGCTTGTATAACTGCGACAACAAACTATCGCTTGCTTGTATTTCATGTGTAGATTTGGCATGCACATGTCAAAAATAAGGCCAAAAAAATGTTTAAAAATTAAAAAAGCCCATTCTCATTTGGTGATTTTCAGAAAACTAGGTACTTAAATGATACAAAAACATCAAAATAAAACTAGTTTTCATATATTGTGCATGAAATATTTAAAAGTTAAAAATTTTCCGCGCTTGTAAAACTGCGACAACAAACTATCGCTTGAAAAAAAAAACTTGCTGTTTTTATCAATTTATGGCGCTTCATCTGGTGGAACTTGACAAAAATACATGTGATTGAACATACTTGATTTCCAAACACACATTCCAGTTGCAGGTTTTACAACAACAGCCGTTTAAAAAACTTTTTCTTCGTCTTTTTTTTCATCTTATAAACGAACGAAGTTGTTTTGCAAAAACAATCGAT